AAAAAAAAAAAAAAAGAACTCTTAAAAGTATGATTATCAGTCTAATTTTTTGAAAAGAGGACAAAAGAATTGAACAGGCATGTTAAAAGATATTATATGCAATTGGCCACTGAACACATGGAATGATGCTAAACATCTTGGTCATTAGAGAAATGTAAATTAGATAAAGAGAAAAGTAGAAAAGGAATCACATGAGGTCAAAGGAAGAAAGTTTTTATTTTTGTTTTAGGATGGCACTGACCTAAAAACTAAAATCTCCATCATGCTCAATCTATTACCTTTTCTGGTTTCTTTCTTCTAACTGTTTACAAATATATTTCTTTCAGTATTTCATTAGCACCTTTATATCTGTGTGTTTTAATGAACTATTTCCTTCTTACGTCCTTCCTATTCAGAGGTCAATCCCTTATAGGCTGCTGGAACGAGGGCTTTGGTTTCTAGCTGTCAGCCTGAGGCTACACTCAGCATCTTGCCCTGTGACCCTCTGTAGGGCAGCTCACAAAAGTAGTTTCTTCAGAGCCAGTGAGAGGGGAGTCTCCTCCAAGATAGGCTTAGTAGGTTTCTGTCATGTAATCATGTACAAATAATCATTCTATCTAACTTGGTTAGAAGCAAGTTGCAGGTCTTATCCACACTCAATGTGTGTGTGTATGTGGCGGGGGGTCATATGAGAGCATGAACTAGGAAACGAGGATCTTGGGGGATACCCTAAAGTCTGTCTGCCACAACTTATTTGTTATGTCTTCACATGGGATACATGTTTATTTTATTCAGTAATTTCCTGCTTATTTAGATGTAGTGATAATTTTAGATTTTTCTGTTTTTCTAACCAGATTCTGTTGGCCGTGACATCCCCAAAATGCTTGAACTGTTTCAATATGGACTTGAAATTAAGGTAGATAAAGAAAGAGAGAACTTTCTGAAGACCAAAATAGCAACAGTAAGTAATGATGGGAGTTATAAATGACCTTCTTTTCTTTTTTGTTCAAGGGATTCATTAATGATATATAATATTATAATATGCTGGTCATTTGAACTTGTTCTTGGCACTGACCTTAGGAGTGGCACTAAGTACACACATGGATAATTTTTTTTTTCTTCTGTAGAGATGGGGGTTTTGCTATATTGCTCAGGCTAGTCTGAAACTCCTGGCTCAAGCAGTCTCCTCCTATGGCCTCCCAGAGTACTAGAATTATGCGCTGTGCATGAGTGCACTGTGCCCACTTTCTTTATTTTGTAGGTTGAACTCATAAGTTTTAATGGCACTTGAGGATTCCTCACGGAGTTAATGTGTTACTGACATTTAGTTGTACTCTGCCTTATTTATCTATTTTATGTATTTTTTCCCTAATATTTTTAGCTTATACTTTAGTGGAATTGAGTAATTTGTTGTATTTTAATGAATTTTGTCTGATTATCTTGGTGTTTTGAAAATTGTTTGCCTACTTTCAAAAGATGTAAAGCCATTTTTAGGACATAAATATCAATGTTAGATTTACAGGACTGTGCTTTTAAATATATAGTTATTAGAAATATTAAAGCAGGCGGCACCTGTGACTCAGTGGGTGGGACGCCAACCCCATATACTGAGGATAGTGGGTTAAAGTCCAGTCCTGGCCACACTGCAACAAAAAAATAGCTGGGTGTTGTGGCGGGCACCCGTAGTCCCAGCTACTTGGGAGGCTGAGGCAAGAGAATCGCTTAAGCCCAAGAGCTGGAGGTTGCTATGAGCTGTGACGCCATGGTATTCTACCAAGGGCGACAAAGTACGACTTTGTCTCTTAAAAAAAAAAAAAAAAAAGAAAGAAATATTAAAGCTATTTATATTAAAGAGTCTTTAAAGTGCCTGTTTCACGTATGTAATATTTTCATGTTCAGTAATAATAAGATTAATAGTAATAGTCTAGATAGAAAAATTTAAACAGTGCCTACCTAGTGTCAGGTGCTATTCTTTTTTTTTTCTCATTGTTATTCACATTTTACTGGTAATTTGAAATATAGATTTAATAATTAATATAGATGCTATTCTAAATGCTTTTCGTATATTCCTTTCATCTTCAACCCTATGAGGTAAAATTATCACTCCCATTTTACTTTCTTTTTTTTTGTTTTTGAGACAGAGTCTCACTTTGTCATCCTTAGTAGAGTGCTGTGGCATCCTCATAGCTCACAGAAACCTCAAACTGTTGGGTTCAAGCAATCCTCTTGCCTCAGCCTCCTGAGTAGCTGGGACTACAGGTACCCACCACAATGTCCGGCTATTTTTTTAAGAGACAGAGTCTCATTCTGGCTGGTCTTGAACTTATGAGCTCTAGCAATCCACCTGCCTCGGCCTCCCAGAGTGTTAGGATTAAAGGTGTGAGCCTCCATACTGGCCATCACCCCCATTTTATAGATAAAGGCATGGAAGCCAAGAAAAGTTAAATAACTTTTTCAAGGTCTTACAGCTACTGTGAGACAGAAGAGGTGTTTGAACCACAACGGTTTCTCGAGTCCAGACTCTTTACTCCTCCATCATGTTGCCTCAAGGCTGGAATTACTCGAATAGCAAGTAATCCTCTCTGTTCTCCCATCTTACTCTTAAAAGGAATTCTGCATCATGATCAATAGCTAGTAGTCCAAGCTTATTGGGCTGTGCCCACTGCAGATCATCAAAACTGTAGGAAAGGATGCAATTAGGTGTTTTTTGTTTTGGAGACACAGGGTCTTACTGTATTGTCCAGGCTGGCCTCAACTCCTGGGCTCAAGTGTTACTCCTGCCTCAGCCTCCTGAGTAGCAGTGACTGCACCAACACACCTAGCTTCTTAGCTGGTTTTATGGTAGAAAATCTTGCTTTAGAAAAGGAGCAAGACAAATCTAATCGAGAGATTGTGAAGCTCCTACTTGCCATCATTATCATTAAAGCTCAGCTCCAATTTATTTGACCCTGAGCTCTGCTAGAATCTGATGTTGAAATTTCCTTTTCCAAAAGGCCCTTGTCAGTGTTTCTTGTTTCTTAGGGTTGACAACATTGTGATCTAAATACTAAACAACAACAAAAAAAAAACCACAAAATACAAATTTTAAGAGACTATTCTGGAGCTGTAGAGACTTGAGTTTGAATACTTGTTCTGCTACTTAGGACATGACAGGCTTTAACCAAGTTTCTTAATGTTGTATCTCAAATTTACTCATCTATAAAATGTATATAGTAACACCTGTTTCACTATGTGGTATTGAAGGTCAGATAAAATTTTAAAATGCTACTGTACTATCTGTTAGTATTTTGGTTGGCCTTTTGGAACTATAGAATATCCTAGTAAGACTCTTCCTTTTTAGCTAAATTAAATCTGCCTTTTCTTACATAATGTCTTCAGTTATTTAGTAGTTAATGTGGATCCCAACTGAGTGTAAGTAACAGTGCCATCTCATTTACTTTCTTTAACAAATACTGTAATGATTAAGACATGGGCTCCATATCGGACTACTTGGATGTTTTGGAGATACACTGCTTTTTCTTAATGAAAAAGAAATTACATGTTTAAAGACGATCCTTCTTTCTTTTTTTTTTTTTTGAGACAGGGTTTTGCTCTGTTGCCCAGGATAAAATGCAGTGGCATCATCCTAGGCTCAAGCAATCTTTTTGCCTTGGTCTCCTGAGTTGTGGGGACTATAGGTATATACCACCACACCAGGCTAATTTTTTAATTTTTTTATAGCGATGAGTTCTTGCCCAGGCTGATCTTGACCTCCTGGCATCAAGTAATCCTCCCGCATCAGCCTCCCAAAGTGCTGGGATTACAAGAGTGAGCCACCATGCCTGGTCTAAAGAGAATCTTTCTAAATACTATTAAAGCATCATAGTATGGTAGGAGGTTAAGAGAATGGGTTTGAGGTTCATACTGTCTTGATTCAAATCCTCGTTCCAGCTTAGAAAGAATTATGTCAGTTTGCTCTTTGAGCCTCAGTTTTTCCTCATTCTCCATTCCCCGCCCCCCCATGTAAAGTGATGGTAATAATGGTACCTGTTTCCTAGGCTAGGAATGAATGAATGAAATAATAACATAATAACTATTTAGCAGACTATTACTCCTGGATAAGGCAGAGTGATAGGGACCTGATTTACCCTGCTGCCTAAAACAATCTGCATTACCTTGATACCAAAATCAATCGAAAAAAGAAAAAAAAACCTACAATACAAATAGTATACAAATTCATGAACATAGGTGTGACAATTCTAAACTAAATTTTAGCAAATGGAATCCAGCAATATATAAAAAGTATAATGTATCATCAAGTAGGGTTTATCCTAAGAATATATCATTTATGAATCATTGTTATTCACCATTTTAACAAACTAAAAAACAAAAGGCACACAATCGTTTCAGTGGATGCAGAGAAAGTGTTGGGCAGAAGCCAACATCCATTCCTGATGTTCATCAAACTAGGGAAAGAAATCAGTGTTTTTAACCTGATAAAGGACATCATAGAAAAACCAACAGCTGACATCATACTTAGTGATGAAAGACTGAGCACTGCTTTCTGCTTCAGATTAGGAGCAGGACAAGGATATCCACTCACTGCTTCTTTTCAACGTGGATCTGGGCATTCTAGATAGTACAGGCAGGCAGGAAACGGATAAAAGGCATCTAGATTAGGAAAGAACATGTGGAACCGTCATTATTCACAGATAATGCGCTCTGGCTAGTAGAACAAAGAAGTTAAGTTAGGTTGAACATGTAAGCTCAACATACAAAAATCAGTTGTATTTCTGTATAATAGCAATGATCAATTAGAAATTGAAGTTTATAAAAATGCCATTTTTAATAATTCAAAATATTAAATACTTAAGTATAAATCTTACAAAAGTTATAAAAGATCCACACACTGAAAACTTCAAAACATGTTTAAGAGAAATTAAAGATCTGACTGAATAAATAATGAGATGGTCCTTATTCATGAACCAGTAGACTCAATATTGTTAAAAATGTCAGTTTCCTCAGGGTAATCTGTAGATTCATTGCAAACTCAGAGTCCCAATCAGCTTTTTTTTTTAAAAATTGACTAGCCAATTTTAAAATTTGTATAGCAATGCAAAGTATCTATGTGCTCTTCGTTTTGAAAATGAACAAAGTTGGAGGTCTGTCTGATTTCCAGATGTTTAAAGCTATAGTAATGTGGCATTGACATCAAAAGAGATGAAACAGTTAATGGAATTGAATAGAGGATCCAAAAAAGGGCAAACATACTAATTTTCAACAAGGTGCAGAGGCATTTTTAGTGAACAAAAGAGTAGTCTTTTCAACAAATGGTACTAGAACAATTGGATATCTATATCTAATAAAAAGAACTTTGACCTATACTTCAAACCATATGTTACAATTCAAAATGTATCAAAGATCTAAATGTAAAGCCTAAAATTATAAAACTTCTAGAAGAAAAAGTTGTATTAGGGAGTGGTTTTTTAGATACAATACCAAAAACATGACCCATAAAAGAAATTGATAAATTGCCCTTTATAAAAATTAAAAGGTTCTGCTCTTTAAAAGATACCATCAAGGGAATAAAAAGACAAATTACAGATTGGGGAAAATGTTTGAAAATCATGTATCTGATTAATCTGGAATCTATAAAGAATTTTAAAACTCTATAATGAAACTACTCAATTTAGAAATCAGCAAAAGATTTGAAAACACCTCACCAAGGAGATGCACGTTAACACATGAGAAGGTGCCCAGCATCTTTAGTCGTTAGGAGAAGCAGATGAAAACCACAGTGAGCTATCACTGCACGTCTGTGAGAATGAATGAAATCTAAAACACTGGGCATGAATCAGTGTGAGGATGTGAGGGACGAGGACACTGCTCATAAAGTGTCTATGGGAGTGTTAAACATTGCGGCCTGTTGCAGCAATTGGCAGTCTCTCGAGTTGACCGTCCACCCAGTATGAGATCCTGCCG